TGCCGAAATTGGACTTTAATATGACTTTTGCTGGTCAACTGCACAAGCTGTCCTCCTCAGGTTGGGGTAATTCTTGAATTTTGAGACGAATCCCATTTTAACACATAAAGGGCTCTTAAATTAAAGAGGTGGTGTAGGCTATTTGAAAACTGCTGTGGTTATGTCCAGTGTTGGAATGATTCATGCATTGCTTTAAGACTTACAGGAGCGTCGCTTATCCAGAAGTTTGTTGCGTTCACCGGACCGTAACGCTCTGTTTGTAACGGACCTTTGACTCGGAACTAATGAAGAAATGAGACGGAAGCAAACGATGACAGAAGTTAAATACTATGTCATCGAGCAGATGCTCAGATGTAGAATTTAATATTTTAATTTGTCAGAAATTTCGACACGTCTTTTAACTGAATAGCCTGTCAAACTTTTTCATGGCTGCATTTTATTAGCTAGGCATAGCCTATATAAATTAGCTATTATCATTATTATTAAAGATTAGAATGTGAACATTTTGAGGCCTTCATTACTTTTTGGGACTTTTTGTTTGTGTGCGTGCATGCGTGTGTGTGTGTCCGGGCTCTACCGTTATTTTGGCAGATTGCTCATTTTAATTAACGCTCATTTTGCGCGCATCTGGCACGTGTCTAGATTTAAATTAATTTTTTAAGATTCCGTTTAGTTCACTCAAGGAAAAATAATACACGGACGGTGAGTGTTGTTTGTTGAATAAACGAATGAATGAATTTTCAGTTGGTCATTTGTCAAGACATCTCGGCACATAGTTTGATAGGAGACGGGAGAAAAGCCGTTATTAGAGAGTGTAAGTAGGCCTAGTTAAAATCCTACGAACAGCTTTACTGACAGTTTAATCTTTCACTGTTATTGATTCTACTTGGGAATCTAACGAAAAGGACCAAACAATCCAGCCTGAGGCCTATTCGTGTGTTGTTTGAGGTAAATTTAGAGTCTAATCATGCAGGCCTATTGTCTATTCTAGCCTACTTGTCAAACATATAGTTTGACGTTACAAATGTAGCTTACACTGTTGAATGAAATTAACCAAATACCTCGAGTTTTTGTCCCAACAGAGTGAAAATTAATTTAGTGCACTTCATTAAATACACCACGCGCTGAAACTGACGCTGTGCCCCTCCCCCTCCAGATCTATTAGCATATAAAACTCTGTGTGTGCGTGTGTGTGTGTGTGGTAAATGTAGGTCACATCGATGAGGACTGCATACTTTGTAATTAGAATTATCTGGTAAACACCTTATTCCGTGTTTTATTGCAGAAAGCTGAATAGCCGTTACTTAACGGACGCCGACACCATATTGAGCCACGAACTAGATGAACTTCATTATTGGCCATTTGTCAAACAAACGTTATTGTCAACATAAAGCGTAGGCTACTTCGCCTAAGTTTAATTAAAATATTTTGATTATCTCTATCAAATATGCTATTTCCAGATTCACGGCACTTACACTAAACACAATCCCACATTTAAATGTTTTAAATAGCCTACAATTTTAAACCCAACCTTGTCCATATTTGCCCAAACATATGAACGCTCTGATAAGCTTTTTGACAATTTTTTTAGATGTTTTTTTTATCAGCAATTCCAATAAGCAGATGTGACTTTTGAACAATCATATCCAACAAGTTTGCATTTTAGCAAGCTGATCTTCTCATAGATTAGCCATCGTAAAGTTTGCTAAATGTTGGATAAAACATTTGGATAAAAACACCAGTCTTCATGATTTCTACCAGTGTTGTCGTCTTAAAAACCTTTCTTCATATTTATATGTTTGAGTGTCTGCCAAAACGTTTAGATCTTCCATGTTGATATGGTTTGAAATTAATTCAGGCTTTTACGAGTCACCAGTCTTATCTTATGATTGTTGCTGTTCTTTATGATCTGGTGGCAGCCAGCTGCCAGTCACAGTTTGGGACGCTTTTAATCCAATGTTAAATCAATTACAGTCAACTCTGGGCCAAACTTGGACACCTCCTCTAAAGTTTCATTTTGCATCTGTTATTCTTATTTCTAATTTTCCATGGATTGTTGGCGGATTTGGTGAAACGATCTCGAGAGCATCCAGACCGAACAGATGGACTCGAGCCCTGACCGGTACAGCGTGCATATGTGCATCCGCTGCTGTGCGCGTTAAGCCCTATTAAGACCGTCTACCGTGCAACTGGTGCTTCTCTCAATCCCGCGAGCTCTCGCAGACTACACAAGCGAAAGCTTCTAATCCCTCACGTGAGAGGACAGGTTCTCTCGCGCTCACATCGTGTAATTCACAGTCTGCCTGGAGGCCTTAGATATATATATAGCTATATGAAACCAGACCGTGTTATTTAATAAGAGCCTATAGGCGATTCATATCCACCGTCACCTCGAGACCTTTACAGTGCATTTACAGCACAACAACCAGCTCTTTAGTCCACTATTCTGTTTTTAGTTAGGCTATCTGTATGTATTAAAAATCACCATGGTTGAATTAGCTTAGCTGATTAGCCTACATTGTGCCATGTTAATCTGAATTCGTCCTGGTCTTCTTGGATCATATAGCCTAAGCCTTTCTTATACCTTTCTGTTTTGTTTACCAGAGAGAGAGAGGGTCAATGATGTAGGCCTGCTAGCTCAATAATATGTCTACTTAGAATAACATCAGACGTTTTAGCTCGCCCATTAAGAGAAAATAAAAAGAGGCTTCCCTTCTCTCACGTTGTTTTTCGAGTAAAACATTTATGAAGCGAAATACGTCAGTATATGTGTATGTTTGTGAGAGGATCCTCCCTTTGCGCTCGAGGCGTCTCCGTGCGCCCTTCTCATGCACGAGGGCGCGAGCCCGCGGTAATTTGGGTTAAATAAAGGGAGCATCAGCTTTTTAAACACTTAAAAACTGCCAAACCTCTAGCAGACACCAAAACCTTAAGAGTTGAGTATTTTGCTGCTGGGGAGGGAGGAGACATTCAGAAACACTGAGAACGAGAGGGACTCACTTAAACACACACTCACATTTGCACATGATCAAGTCTTTCCCATGAACTGTTAAACGTCATTAGGTTGCCTGTTTTATTTCCAGAGGAAAACATATAGCCTACAGTTATTAATATTTCGGACCTTTATCACAGGCTGTAGGTAATATGGGTGTCCGTGTCTTGTCATGCACCTGTGAGGTTCTTAAAGCATAAATTTGACCGACATGCTGATTTAGGCGAAGACCCCCCATGCGCGCTCAAATCATCATCCTAAACGTGCACAAAATACTTTCAGAGTGGGTCAGATCGTCACTGTCCCGGTTCGGTAAACGAAAGAACAAAAACAAATTGGCTGCAAAAGGATTAAACTGAATCAAAAGTGACCAGAGAGCACCGATGTGTTCAAAAGCCATTGCTAAAATACGTAAATGAAAGTATCAAAATACTAAAAAATAAATAGTGTGGTCTATTTAAGGTACAACCGATAATAAAGAGGTAGGCTATAAGTAGGCTATATCATTAAAACAGTCTTTAAATAGTTCCTACATTCAATAGCCTGTTATGATGTTTTTCGCAACATTTTTTTACAAACGAATTTTTCTATTAAAATGGAAAAAATGCTTTGTGCGATGATAATATAAATTAAAGGTACATATTTTTTCTACCATTAACTGTATTTCAATTAAATTTGCTTTCCTGCAACGTGTCTATTATTCAGTTAAATTGAAATTAAAATGTTTAATAAAACCGATTAAAATCACACTTTAAACAAGTGAAATAACGAAACATAATGTTTAATCGTGCAATCATAATTACAGTGATACAATACACCGAGTTAAACTTACGTGTTTGTTGGGGGAAAAAATCCAAAAAGCTGGTAAAAGGTAAAGCCGCGAGGAAAACAGAGACAAATAAAACTGGCCCTTCTACAGAAAGCGCTAACGATCTTAAAGAAATGTCCACAAAAATCATCAAAAATGTTGAAAGCGCACTTGGTTCCTTATTAGGCGAAGATACAATATTTATTCCGTGTCTCCAGGGATGAGGCTGCTCTCTCTATTGTCCTCCCTTTCCTCAATGCTGATGCTTAATTTTCAAAACTTCTATATTACCAAGGGACCTACGACATCAGCCGGAGAAATACCCAGCAAGTACAAAATCCGAGCCAGGGAGCGCTTTGTGCAGAGGGGAGGCATTTCAGCCGCTTTTACCGACTGCGCGAGGCGACATTTCATTTTCACGCGCTATTTTGGGGATTTTTTTTTTTCTTTCATTCGTCCAACAGCGCGTGGAAATCGAGTTATTGGATCGCGAGAATGTCAGCCACATTTCCGGGACTGGTGCACGATGCGGAGGTATTTAAATTAATTTCTTATCACCTCACAATAATTTCATTTAATTTAACGTTTAGCATCGCATGGAGGGAAATTATGATCACTTAGAAAAGCGGAATGGAAGTTAAGACTTCTGAGGGGAGTTTGCTGCAAAGGCGAGGATAAATACTAGCCTATTCGGTTCTGGTGAAAATACCTTTTACTAGTTGCTTTTTTCGGTTCTCGAACGTGCATGTAAAAATCTCCACAGTTATTGGAACCATTTGCTTGTTATTTTTTATTATAATAAGTAGGCTATTAGTAGTGTACATACTATCGTGTCTTGTGCTTACCTGCAGTGAAACGGGCGTAGATTGTTGGGACAAAAAGCTTTTAATGTCGTTTGCACGGATGTAGTAATAATAATATAGTCAAATAACACACTCCGTGGTAAATGATAGACAAGTGAGGGAGGGAAAAAAACGCTGTGAGCTCGTGGAGCAGTTTGCAGTGTGTTTCACGCACTCCCTCCCAGGCACGGAGAGATGACATCGCCGTCAGGTACTTTTCTAAAGACACTTTGAGCTGCTGTGTGTGTTTGTGTGTTTGGGGAAGGTTTGAGTTTCCGCCGCGTGAGAAATGCGCGCGGATCGCTGCGAGCGCGTGTAAATGACATCCCTCATATTTTTCTCTTTTTTCCCCGCACAGATACGTCACGACGGATCAAACAGCTACCGTTTGATGCAACTCGGATGCTTGGAATCTGTGGCCAACTCGTCTGTCGCTTACTCTTCATCGTCTCCGCTTACATACCCAGCTACCGGAACCGAATTTGCCTCCCCGTATTTTCCCACGAACCACCAGTACACGCCCTTACACCACCAGTCCTTCCACTACGAGTTCCAGCACAGCCACCCGGCCGTGAACCCGGACGCGTACTCGTTAAACTCTCTCCATCACTCACAGCAGTATTACCAGCAGCTGCATCACGGCGAACCGGCGGACTTCATCAACCTTCACAACGCCCGCGCGCTCAAGTCCTCGTGCCTGGACGAACAGCGGCGGGAACTGGGCTGTCTGGACGCGTACCGCAGGCATGACCTGTCAATCATGAGCCACGGCTCTCAGTACGGCATGCACCCCGAGCAAAGACTGCTGCCCGGGGCGGGTCTAGGGCTGCCTCCACCGGGGGCCGATGACCTACAGGTACAACTTCTACCGTACTTCAAGCACAAAATAGTAGCTACACACACTCAAATGTGTCGCCATCGCCTCACACGCGGGCTGAAGAGAAGTCGACGCCTTCAGGGATGTTGTATATAATCACTTTCACTGCCCGAACTGAAGAAATGATTGCCCGAGGGCCTGAACAAAAAAAACAACAACAACAACAAAAAACCTTTTAAACATCCGGAGAGATCGAAAAAGAAAAATCGAGGCCGCTCGAGCTAGCGGTCACTTTCTTTTCGGCCTACTTTCGCGTAACTAATTAATTTAATAAGACACAAATCATTATATATTATTTCGGAATAAAATAAAAATAAAATAAGCTCTGTATACATATGAAAAAAAAAAAAAAAAAGTGTGTAGGCTATAAGAAATGCATTAATTGACTAACACGTGAAACACACTTTTTTAAAGCTAGCCTATATTTTGAAGCGTTTTCAAGCACCATATTTCAGTTGATTTAACAGGCGGATTTTACATATTTAATATAGTGAATATTGAGAAGTCTGAATTCAGCCGCGCGTATGTCGGGCCTCGCTGCTGTAAAGCCGCGGTTTCTTTTTCCTCCGTTAAAAGGCGGATTAAGGGCTTGAAAAAGTGCGAACAAAAGGCAAATCCTCCGCAGTAGAGCACCGTAGTTTATCCAATTTAGGACTTAATGTCAATCAACTGGTTATTTATGCACAGACATCTGAAACAGCTCAAGTTTAACTGGTGAGTCAAAAATATGTTAAGATCAAAATAATGATCCAGTCCTTTTAAAAATATGCAGCGAGAGAGTGAAATTGAATTGATAAAATAAATGTAATTGAGAGAAAATATTTTAGATAGCGGGTGATATTTTGGACATTTTACTTAATTGCATAGAATAACATTTGTAATAGTACATTGAGCATTTAAACGATATCGACATAATTAATATATAATTAATTGCTCTAGCCTATAAAAGATCAGATCATTGCTCAATGGTAGTATAATGACTAATATAAAATGTGAAATAATGCGTACATTTTTATTGCTTTGACTAATAATAAAACTAGGCTATATATATAGCCTATAACTGTTGAATAATTTTTTTATTTGCCCAGATTTTCTTGGATTTTCAGGGCCTATTTAAATAATGTGGCGTAAAAACAGTCTAAAACAATATAGGCAGCCTTAGTTTTCTATTTAATGTTGCATAGGCTATTTTACATTTTAATGCAATTTCAGAACATCATATTAAACTGTTTAATTCTATTTCAATATCGATGCAACTTTGCTATATATATATATATATATATATATATATATTTTTTTTTTTTTTCATGACTTTGTGCGCATGGTATATAGCCGAAGTTTAGGCGTGTTCAAAACAAATATCGTAAAGATTAGTTTTGGTATTGCTGTCGCGTGTTCAGACATTCTGCACGCGCGCACACACAAAAAAGGCCCACAGGAGAACAGACAGCAACACATACGTCCCGTGAAAAGGTTTTGGACCTTTCTTTGGTGCTGAATGAAACCGTGCGCGCGGTGCAGGCCGCGGAACAGATGCGGGCAGTCTCGTGCACACAGCGCATCTTTGAGCCGCTAAACAGATTTGGCACGCGGAACAATAGAAGCTGCCGCACCTTTAACACGCACACGCGTAATTTATGCCTGATCCGACGGGTTTGTATATTGATTTTATAATCACTTTAACTGCGGGGAAAAGAAAAATAGAGCAGGAGTTTGTTAAAGGGTTACAAGAGCACGCCAGTATGGTGTCAGTGTGGATGTGAGCGTGTGTGGGTGAAATATGTGTGTGAATGAATGCGTTTTTCTTTTTTCTTTGAATGTGTGTGTCTGACTTGGCCTCCAGACTGGTCGTGGCTCGTGAGACGGATTAACTCTTTTCTTTTGATGCAGTCCACTGTTCCTTTAGCTGATGACATCACTGATAAGAGAACGTAAATAATCTTTGTCAAACATTACAATGTAACAGGTTCCGTTACCTCTGCATTTTAACTAACCATGTGTCATACATCCTGGTCAAACACAAAAACTGATCACAATGTAAGATTTGTTCAATATTGATCATCAAGTTAATATAGCCCATGTTTCTGTGTTTAGGGATCTGTTGATGGTCAGTGTGGACTCGTGTTAAATGGCCAAGGAGGAGTGATCCGGAGAGGTAAGGTCACAACACTAACTCACACATTCACTAATCATTTCATATTTTTCCTCATCCCTTCTACACTGTAAAAACAACAACAACAAAAAAAATAGAAGCAGTAAATAAAACAAAGTACACAAGAACATTCAGTCTGTCTACTTCAAAATTTAATTAATTTAAAACAATGTGTTGCCAATTTTAATTAACTTAAAACAATGTGTTGCCAATTCTTTGTGAAATTTACAAGCACATTCTGAGTGAAAATGTCAGGGAAATTTTCATAGGGTCAGTCCTGCCTTTCAAATGATTTTAGTATTTTATAATAATAGTAAACTAAAATAAATACGCTAAATTGTATTTATATATGTATTAATTGCTTTCCAGTGACAAGACAATAATTTAAAGTTTTAGCATAAACATTTTAATAAAAAAAAAAAAATCAATGTTGGTTTTATCCATTTATTTGCCCCCCCCCCCCCTTTTTTTTTTTTTATAAAAAAGTAAACTGAAAAACAAGGTCTTGTATTATTTTAGTAAAAAATTATAGGAAATATTTTTTTATTGTCTTTGATTGCATTAATGTAAATGTCAATCAATAGGCCTAATACATTCATTGTTATTGCCTGACTCTTAAATTATTGTTTGCATCATTAATAAATAATTACAACAACGAAATAATAAACATTTCAGTATAGGTAATTAATTTGGCTACATTAAATATATGATGTATTTACATTAAATTTCTTTAATATTTCCTCAAGAATTGATATTATATTTTAACGTAACGGTATTCTACGTTTTTGAAGGCAAATATCAAGTATAATGTAATATTATTTTTCTTATTATTTTGTTGTCACAGACGTTTTTTTTTTTTTCATGCAATGGAAATGAATGTTATTTTTAGTTTTAAAGCCCGTTTACTGTTATTCTTTCTTTCTAGCTGACGTAATTCAGAGAAAATTGATAGGCTAATTAATTAGTCAGAGAAAGCATAATGAAGGGACCGTAGGCTATATTGTTGAGAAGTTCAAACCCCGATAAAACACACATTTCTCAAGGTCAATCTCCGTTGACAGACGTTCTCGATAACCTCAGAGGAATTTCTGTATTATTCTCTGTCTGCCGCTGTATTTTGTAAAATCGCGAGTCTTGTGTGGATGAATCGAATCGTGTTCACGTTTCGTAATATTTTCTTAATATCAGTCGCATCTGTGTCTGCATGCATGCCTCTTCAAAGCAGCAGCGGATCGACACACACATGTGGAGTTTGCCAAAGCGAACGGTGTCTTGGGCGCTTAATTTTTAATAAACTCTGTCTAGGTGTTGGGCTCGCCATCACTTCCAGTTAATGGTGTGCAGGATTTAGCCGCGAGCTCCGCCGCTCCAACCATCACAACCAATAATCATTGCTTTACCTCGCGCTCCGGTATCGATAGCTTCTCGCGCCTCGGGCGCACGCTTTGATATGTTAATGCCGCGCGGCTCCAAATTCAGTGGAGATCATATTAATGTTGTTCACACTGACTGCAGCTTTGGCTTCGTTGAATATTCAGATAACCTTTTTCAAAAGAAATCACTCAAGAAACGAGGATCCTACTTAGAAAAGTCGTCTGTGTTTTAATCATGATTATCCCTCTTAGCTTTCAGGAATTTGATCAAGCTACACCCCGCCTTTATACGCGCGCGCGCACACACACACACACACTTTCACTTCTGTGCGCGCCCGCGTGTGTCTGTGTGTTTTGAGTGCTGGGTGATGAGTGTAAACATACACCACCGCTACAGTTGAAATAGAAACAGAATGACATTTGGCCTATGTCTTTTTTTTTCTTTAATTTTCGTGGCAAACTCGCAAAAAGCGCTTGATTCGCTTTGTGATCGCTCGCGCGCTGCCTCGGGCTACTCTCCCTCGCGCTTAAATACCCGCTATCGCCTCTGGGCCCGGCGCGCGCGACCAGACTACCGGCAATAGCTCTTTTTCAATTGCCCTTGGCAACATAAAATACAAACTACTTTGAATCAAAACATTTTGGGTGGAATTAATGTGAAGTGAACTTGCATGCTAGCAGAGATCTTGGGTTTGTCAGAGCGCTTTAGGGTGACTGATGAGGAGCAGGTTAGAGGCCCACTATAGCCAGAAAACCCCTTCAGGAACACACACATCCACACATGAACACAAATACACATGTGGCCACACATTGATTCCAGCTCAGTCTGAGCATGTAATTTATAGATCTTTACAACATAAACTGATCCATCTATAGTATGGATGCGACATACAAAGCTTAATAAATAAACATAATATTTGATAAATGCACAAATGGACAACTCCTGTACAAAACATAATTGTTCATACAGGTAGTTAAGTTGGAATGCAATGCATGCAGGTTTTATGTGCTCATATTATGATTTCACTTGAATATTTGAATATGTATTATGAATTATGATTCATATAATTATGAATATTTTCACTTTTTAAAAATTCATTTTTTATGAGTTCATACACCACATGACCTTTTAAAATCAACTATAAAGCAAATAGCTGAACCCAATTCTCTCTTTTTTTACCCACCTACAGTTAATTTATACATTCATATATATTTTATGTTATCCGTCACGTTATCCGTCAACCACCCATATACATTTGCACAGCTTCAAAACAGTTGGCTGTAGCAAAATAAAAGCATTATGAATGATTATGCACCTTTTTTGTTCAGCGATCTGACTTTCTAATTTGCAACACTCACTAACAGAACAGGCTAGCACCGCCGCCGGTCGTTTGTGAAGATCTGACCTGTAGTCTGTTGTTGTGTACAGGTGGCACGTGTGTAGTGAACCCTACAGACCTGTTCTGCTCTGTACCAGGAAGACTTTCTCTTCTCAGCTCTACCTCAAAGTACAAGGTCACCATCGCTGAAGTCAAACGCCGCCTGTCTCCTCCGGAGTGTCTCAATGCCTCGCTACTCGGTGGCATTTTAAGAAGGTAAGAAACCTGCTTTTAACACACATGAAACTCTAGAAAATCTAAAGCATCAACATCTAAACATATAGCTTTGTACACAAGTCCTATAAGAGAAGCACAGGGTTAGTGTTGCTTGGCACAACAATGTTAGCTACATTCAGTCCGAAGACTGCCAATCGCTGAAATATGAAGGAAGACTCCATTTTTACATATAGTTTAATGGCAAAACAATGAAAGCGACAGAAAAATAGATGGGACATGGAGTCCTGGACACTTAAACCAGAGATAAAGAAGAGAATGTGGCTGTATGAGAGAGGGAATGAGAACAGTGAAGCTGAGGCTCCATTATTGATGAGGGACACAGACTGGAGAGCAGAAATGAGGCCAGTGACGAGAAGAGAGAAGAAACACACACACACAGGACAAAACATCCTGTTAATGCACAGGTTCATTAACGCCTGCAAAAACATTCACAAATTCCTTCTATATAAAGCAAAAATGAGGATATTGAGTGTTAAATGAATGTACGTTACAGCCCGAACTCATTATGCATGGACATGAATGAGCAAACCAAGCATCCTGTTTGGTCCTGAGTATTTGTGTCCATTGAAAAATGCAAGGACTCACTTTAGTTGTCACACAGCCACAGTTCTCATGCGCTCACTTAAGAATGTAGGTTTGTAGAGTGTTAAGGTTTAATAATGTAAAAGTGCTTTGGGAAGAAATGACTGGATGAGATATGAAATGTGACACATGCAGTGCGTAAGTGTGTTACTGATGGACTTTCTCCATCTGTGTGGGTCAGGGCCAAGTCAAAGAACGGTGGTCGCTGCCTCAGGGAGAAACTGGACAGGTTGGGACTCAATCTCCCAGCAGGCCGCAGGAAAGCAGCCAACGTCACGCTGTTGACCTCTTTAGTGGAAGGTTTGTGCTTTTTTTCCTTTTAGAAATGCTGCTTTTTGAAGATGCCCTTGTTTATTTGGTTCAATGCTAATTTGACTCATTTTATGAATGATTTGGTTAAAGGAGGCATTTTTAACGCATGAAATGTAATGGCGACTTGTTTTATTTAATATCTAGTATTTAAAAGTATTTTTGTAATGTCGTGATATCTGAGCGTTTACATCAGAAAAGCATCTGGTTGAGTTTCTTTGTTTTTGTTGAGGATGATATCTGTTAAGATTGAAACATCTATTCTACCATAAAAGAAAAAGTCGGAAATATTCTTAGTCTACAGACATAATATTTATTACTCAAGGGAAGTTGGAAATGAATTGAGACAGATTGATGCAACATCTATGCAATTTTTCAGACAGCATTTAGAGAATGAACTGAATTCCGAGCTTCATCTTTCCTGCTCTGTGTGTGTGTGTGTGTAGGGGAAGCACTACATCTGGCTCGGGACTTTGGTTACACCTGTGAGACAGAGTTTCCCACCAAAGCGGTCGGGGAGCATCTGGCCCGCCAGCACACGGAACCAAAGGAACAGAACGCGCGCAAGAAAATGGTGCTGGCCACCAAGTAAGACGCCAACACTTTAGTGCTTTCAGCCAAGTCTGTTTACACGTACCACTTTATTATAGAGACATTTAAAGTCTTGAAACAATGAGACCTTCATATGCTCTTAAAATCCACTCTTAAAAATCAAGGTTTTTACAGCAAAGCCATTTTAGTTCCCCAAAAGACCATTTTTTTCTCATTTTGATGAACATTTTAATGATCAGAAGAAACTTTTCCACGAATGGATGTTAAAGGTTCTACTTGGAACTATAGATAAAGAACCTTACATTTTTTAAAAAAAATTGCTGATAATTTACTCACCCCCATGTCATCCAAATTAAGGTTTTTGATGAAAACATTCCAGGATTTTTCTCCTTTTAATGGACTTCAATGGGAACCAAACAGTTCAAGGTCCAAAAGACAGTTTCAGCACAAACCGCAAACTGTTCAAAGGACTTTAAACGATTCCAGACGATGAATAAGGGCGGAACGATCGCTCATTTAAAAAATAATAAAAAAGTTTAAGTTTTATAAGCTCAAATGCTTGCCTTGCTCTGTTCTGTGATGCGCGTTCGTGACTCCTGTTTGAACTCGTTCATCAAAATGAACGAATCTTTTCCCGAGTCAACTCGTTAATTTCGTTCATTGAATGAACCAAATGACACGAAAAAAGTCTCGTTCATTTTGATGAACGAGTTCGAACAGGAGAGTCACGAACGCGCATCACAGAACAGAGCAAGGCGAGCATTTGTGCTTATAAAACGTAAACTTTGTTATTATTTTTTTAAATGAGTGATCGTTTCGCTTGATTAAGACCCTTATTCATCGTCTGGAATCGTTTAAAGCCTTTTGAATAGTTTGCACCGAAACTGTCTTTTGGACCTTGAACCGTTTGGTTCCCATTGAAGTCCATTATCCTGAAATGTTTTCATCAAAAACCTTAATTTCTTTTCGACTAAAGAAAGAAAGACGTGGACATCTTGGATGACATGTGGGTGAGTAAATCATCAGTGAAAGTTTTTTTAAAAGTGAACTACTCCTTTAAGAGTGTGCATATGAACGCCTATGCGAAACTGCACCTTAGAGAATTAGATCTTGGAAAAGGTTTTGTTGCTGAGGATTGGAGGCATGTTTTCATGCATGTGTGTGATGTGAAAACTAAGATCTCATTAAATCTCCTTTATGTATTACTTATGAGGAATGGCGCTTTTGTTTTATTGTGTGCATTTTCCAGATGCGTCCTTATAACTGTGTTTTGAATGGCTTTGTGTCTCCAGGCAGATCTGTAAGGAATTTCAGGATTTGTTAAGTCAAGATCGATCTCCACTCGGTTCCTCTAGACCAACACCTATTCTGGACTTGGACATTCAGAGACATCTAACACACTTCAGGTACAGACTCAACGCCTGCATGCAGACAACATATACGTACGCGAATGCAAGTATTTTTAATAAGCATTTTCTGTTGTCTTCTTCAGTCTAATCACGCATGGATTCGGTACGCCGGCGATTTGCGCGGCTCTTAGCACCTTTCAAACGATCCTCAGCGAAATGCTTAATTACCTGGAGAAACACTCAGCCAATAAGAGCGCAGGAACGCCAGACACCAGCCAGATCAATTCCAACTCGGACAAAACACTGCGCAAAACCAGCGAGGCACAGACGAAGGACGGTAAAATCGAGAAAACCGAATGACTCTGACGCAAGAGTGGCCGCTTTCCCGATTCCTGATCTGAGCCCTGATGGGCGGGCCTTGTTCAGGGCGTGGCTACTTGGGGCGGGGTTATAGGGATTTTATTCCATATTCTTTTATTTATAAGCATAACTGGCATAACTTCCTACGACCTCAGCTTTCCCTGTATGTACAAACCAGTCATTTCATTCTCACATTACGCAAAAAAAACACTAACCATTTTCATTATTTTATAAGTTATTGAATAAGTTATTTTCCCTAAAGTTTGTCTGTATATAATTAGTTTAAATAATGATTTTAAAGATGCAATATCTTTTATTAAAAGACTCACATTCCATTTCTGCCAAGGTCGGTTTGAGACTGTAAATTATGACAGGCAACGTTCCCTGTTGCGTTAGTTACTGTATATTGTGCATGTTAAACTTTGTACACCATCTGAAACGGACGTTCCCCACTGTTGTTCCAGAACACAAACTCTTGACTGCATTTGTAAAAAAAGTTATATATAAATATATAAATTCAATCTTTTCTTGTAGGCTTTGAACTACATATATGAAATAACCATACATGCAAACTACTGGTGTTCAATAAAGCATATTGCTCAAAGTCTTATATTAACTCACATGACTGGCTTGAAATTCATGTGTGAATACAAATCATATTTTATGTGCATTTGCAGTGCTAGGTTATGGATTTGACTCATTAATGATTAGCCTAATCAATCACATGTTCAACTTGACCTGCTATAGCTTAAAATTCTCACCCACCTACGTTTGTTCTGTTAAATAAGTGTCTTATACTCAGACGAGAAGTGTTCTCAGGCTGTCCTTCCTCAGGCGTTTCCTCATCCTTTATCTGGAGATCTGCTTTCCTTCAATGAGCCTGAAGACCTTTATTCGCCGGTTTAGATCTGTTAGAATTTTAAAATGAACACTGGAGGAAAGTATTTGCTTTTGTTCACTCACTTACACTTGTAGCCAGTGAACTCATTTAACTTAAAACACAGAATATAATGAATGAAAATAATAATAATGAAATGAGAGTACACTGTAGAAATTATTTTCATGATTAAAAATGACTTGGATAGTCAATGTGGTTCAGATAACATGATATTTTGAGTTTCTGTTGATTAAACCAATTTCCTTTAGTGTATTAACTCAATTTTAAGGCAACCAGGTAGCCTACCTTAATTTTCTAAGTCAAACCAACATTATTATTATTATTTTTATGATGTAGCTTTATTTGCAGCCTAGAATTGTTACATTTTATTCATTCTAAAAACCACAATCACACAGGAGACTTGATTATTTGGACAAAATACATTTTCATTATGATAGAATACATTTTAAAGCATTTCGAAAAAAAGGCTGATGTTGGATATAAGCAGCCAAACAGCACAGATCATTAACAGCAGAGAAAGACCAACATGCTGTTGCACCAGAAGGCTTCACGAAGTCAATAACCGACTCACAGATCGATGCGAATGAGCTTTTCACAAGATAAAAGCGATTTACATTCATATTCACAATTTTTGAAGGAAGCCGCTGTCTGATCTCAGCACTGAGGACTTTTCTATGATCAACGTCAGCGTTAACGAACTTAGCCTAAATATAAAAATAACACAATCTTGGGAAAACCCAGACAAGTCATTAGCGCATTTATTGTTTACGAGTGTGTTTGATCAGTTTGGGCGATTTCTAATAGCCTGCAAAGTTCCGCTTCAACTCGACCTATTTTACGCAGTGAGTATAGCCTAGCATAATTAGGCTAACTAGCCTTGCCTAACGTATGTTCAAAACGTAAAATGCCAGTGAAAAGTACAGGCAACTCAAAACCAAATAATTAGCATTTAATATTCCTATTTAAATAAACATTCAGTGGTTTAAAGAAACACGTAAGTTAATTATTTCTCAAGGGATTGAGTCTGTTCCTCCAACATGTCCCGGTTTTGAGTTGAATAAATCATAAATAACACATACAACAACTTTATTCAAATTAAACAAAGGTCTAAATATATTATTTACGCATAAATTACGATAGATGTTGATATTATAGCCATAGGCTATTATTATTGCTTTGGCAGTTTTATTTAAACATAGTCCTAGCTAATTATAATTGGCTTCAGACTTAACGTTACCGTACCTATAACAAAAACTAGCCTATTCGCATTTTTTCTTTACAAATATAATAATTTAATAACGTTACATGTTTTATTCCACTTTTTGTGTAGGCTAATTTTTCCCTCAGATTCGCATACAGAGAGAACTTTGAAAGTCTGATGGGAAACGTGCCTTAATATTAGATGTATAGATATAAGATTAATATTATAGATAGGCCTATAAGATTTATAATTTTTTACAATTCATTGTCCAGTGTCCGGAACACGAATCTAAAGCGTCTGGATTAGGTTTATCATTGTCGAAAACTTTTCGCCCTCTTCTGAAGGTCTTCAACAAGAACTCAATGGATCTTTATCATGTTACTCGCGCGCCATCTTGTGGCTGGTTTGTGTAGTGGCACTACAGTGCGATTCCATAACTTAAAATGTATTATGTTAAAATTCTAGATTAGAATATAATTGCTTATATACATGTGATTGTTTTGGACATTGGATAAAAAATGTGCACAGATAAAGCATAACCAAATCTCTATAAACCAATGCAATCCCATAGATGTGAGGATCTCTCTCTCTCTCTCTCTCTCTCTCTCTCTCTCTCTCTCTCTCTCTCTCTCTCTCTCTCTCTCTCTCTCTCTCTCTCTCTCTCTCTCTCTCTCTCTCTCTTTCGGTGTGTGTGTGTGTGTGTGTGTTCTTGAATGTGTGATTATGTTTCAAATTCAAATCACAGTCTGTGCAGAATGAGCCTAGTTTCTCTCAAACTTCGACATCTGTCATGGCCTCTAGACATGCCCAGAGTGAGTGTGTGTGTGTGTGGGTCTGGCACTTTCTCTGTGGCAGCGGGGCTCCTGAAACATTAATCGCAGATTATTTTCACTCATCCATACGTCAAGCAGCATCTCAGTGGCCAATGCAACAGATCTGAGAGCACTTGAAATTGGGTCAAGATCAGATCAGCTCCATTAGACTCGCAAATGTCCTACAGTACACGTTTAGTTTCTATAAATCAGTCTGGAAAACATTAGGATATGTTTTTTTAAAAAAAGGTTGACACTGCATATTAGTTGTCAGTCAGTAACAAAACTTTCAAAATGGAAAACCAAGGCTATTTCTAGTGACCCAGTGACCCCTTGTGCAGAAAGGAGGAATTGTTCCTGTTCCTTGTGAGGAGATAAACTTTAAATCATTGTCTGTATTAAAATAAATTAAAGCTAGATTATAATTAAATTGTAACCAATAATTATAGCACTAATTATTTGTTATCATAAATAAAATTAATAAAATTGGTTTTCTATTTACAATATTTTTTATTAGGCCATATTTTTGCTGTTTAAAATAAAGACGTTTTGTCCGCCATTTCAGGTAAGCTTTTGCTCTTAGTCTAATGTCAACCTTTGCGCAGTTTTAAACGCAATTTAGCGGAAATTATCCAAAAAGTATGGTAAAAATGTATTGCCCCCCCCCCCCCCCCTCTCTATTTATTTAATTATTTATTTATTTATTTTGATATTGGTAATGCATGTTTTGATGTAACTATGTTCAGTCGCATTCCTAAATGCATGTTTTAAATCAGTAAAAACTTGCTTCGAAGTAAAAACTCATTTTTGCTTTCATTTCATTTGCGTGTTGATTCAGGGCATTGTAGTTTTTTTTTGGATAAAACTAAGTTCAAAGCAGCACTACCACGGTTTTGAGTAATGGCTTGATTCAGTTTAAAATGGTGCATCTCTCATTATAGCTGACTGTGAGAACCGTTTGTCTTAATTCTGATTTACAGTCATTAATAGCGTTACCTCGTAATATAATAATTCATTAAAGGAAAAGGAAAAAAAAATGCTTGTTACAGTTCAATCCAGCTCACAGGATTACAACCAAATATCCACATTTAAAGAGATAGTTCTCTCAAAAATGAAAAAAAAAACTGTAATTAACTAACTAATTAACTAACTAACTAAGCATCAAAACTTCATGAAGAGATCCTAAAACGAATCCATATGAATTTAGTGATTTAGTCCAAATGTTCAGAAGAGCCTCAATCGCTTTATTTGAAGAACAGATTGAATTTAGACTTTTAGTCGCATATAAACATTCATCAACTCACACATCAGTTGTTTGCTTGATGTGCAAGAACCAGAGGTTCATTCTCTTGAGTCGTGTTACGCAGCATGTTTGAGCTTCCTCAAGTCGTACGAATTCGACGAATGATTAAAAAGTGGCTAATTCGTAACAATTTATACGACCTCACTCGTACGAATTAATACGATTTTGCTAAATCGTACATATTTTACGAATTGGCCAATTCGTATGAATTCGTACGAATGACCTACCCCTGACCCCGCCCCTAAACCTAACCATCACGTGGGTTTAGACAAATCGTACAAATTAGTACGAGTGAGGTCGTACGAATTAGTACGAATTAGACACTTTTTAATCATGCGTCGAATTCGTACGAATTGGTCGTGAGATCGGGTTGGGTTTGAGCTCCTGTGTCAGTCCGATGTTTATGTGAATAAAAGACTAAATTCTGTAGCCTACATCATAATAAGCGATCGAAAAAATTTGGGCTAAACCTCTCAATTCATATGGATCATAAGTTACACTAACTTCAGTATCAAGAGTAGGCTATCCAAGGGGCGGGGCTTAGCGAAGGTTCAGGTGTGTAATAAACTGAAGGATCAGGCTTAACTCTGCAGGAGCTGGATTGAGTTCGACTTCTGGATGTCCGACATTTCAGATCATGAAGTTTCAGATCATGAAGCCGACATGAAGTTTAGTAAAACTCTTTGACCGCACCGCACAACCTCTGAAACGTTTTGTTCTTCTATTTACAGGCAGTCAAAGCCTCAACCTGAAGCGTTGTTTTTGTATTCTCTTTAGTATTAGCTTGACAGTGACCGGCAGGGGGCGCACTGGACCTTCACCCAGGCATCTGAAGGCCTATATCAGAGACAGCTGTGGACATCTGACCTCGCTCTCTTCATGCCATTGGCTTTGAGGTAATGTTTGCTTACAGCACTGACAGTAATCTGATAGTTGTAGCGAAACACTGATCAATCAAAAGCCTCTGATTTCTGTTATCCAGTGAATAAACAGTTGGTTATCCTTCAATCTTCAATTGAGAGTTTACCAACCTATCATTTCCTAGCTATTTCAACTGTTTATATAGCCTAGCCTATATAGTTGTGGATTCGGGGTGATTGGGAAATGACTAGAGAAAAGTGTCCCAATCAATCTGAATCCTTCTAAAACTATATCGAAACTACACAGTAAAAAAAATAGATGATCAATAAGTTATGACTATGTTTTTACAATGCTTTGAAACTAAAATAAGTTAAGCAAATTTTATCTTTTTTTAATAAGATATAGATAGGATTTAGTCAGTTCAATGTAATTTAAGTTGAAATAACGTAAAGATCCCAAGTTGATTGTAGCCTACTTAAAATTTAAGGCAGCATTTTTTATTTTTTTTCAAAAATTTTTTTTTTTACAATGTAGGGAACTATTGATTATTTTAGGTTTAATACTTTTTTTCTGTTTCCTCACGTTCACACGTTGTAAAATGGCAGACTGCAGCGTTTGTTAAACGTTCATTTCATTTGCGGTTGATGATGGAGCTGGAGTCTCAGCGAATCCCCCCGCAGCAGCTTTACATGCAACCCAAAGTCAACACACACTTAACATTAGACATTCACTGTATCAACTGCGCTACAGCACGAGCACACACGCAGAGCAACAGGGAAAGGGAATCGGTGATGTTTCTATGAGCTTTACGTTTCCAGTGAGTGAGTGAGAGAGAGAAAGAGAGGGAGAGAGAGAGTTGAGATCTTCACTCTTCACATGAATGCACTCGTTATACAGGGATCAGCGCGCGAACATGCTGTGGAAACTGGTGGAAAATGTCAAGTATGAAGATATATACGAGGTAAAGAGAAGATATTACAAACTGCATCCGCATCTGTGTTTTTTTCACTGTATGATTTATTTATAGAACGACGAAAGCGTTTGGTCGTGATTTGATTTTTTTTCCCCTCAAATATTTGTCTATTTTTTATATGGGGTTTATGGTGGTTATTAAAATAGTGAAGAAAATCAAATGATAAAGGTTTAATTAAAAAAAATATATATAAAAGATATTGATAGGCCTATATATTTATATAGGCCTATTTAATATAAAAAAAAAACATTTTTTCATATTTTACTTCGGTCTTTTCTATAATTTTCCAGTCCATTTTACCATTTTATTATGTAGTAAATTTTATCAGGTTTCTTTTTATCCTTTAAAAATATTTTTAATGTTTTTCCCGGAGAGTTTTTAATAATATTACCCAGTAAGCCACGTAAATGATAGCCAGAATAAATGATAGCCAGATTCTGTAACTGCTTTTTTTTAAATCGAGGCACAGTTTAAACATTTGTATTGTTTTTTTTAATGTATTGAATTAGATATTTTAAGAATTTAAAGTATTAGCTTAAAAACAAAAATGATAATGCACTGAAAATTTTTCTTGGCAATCGCATCCAGAAAAGGAGAGGACGCGTGGGAGTCCCGTGGATTCCCCTGAATGGTCTCGAGCTCGTGGGAGAGACTCGTGGTGGTTTTAGGAAAAGCCTCGCGGGATGCCGACCCAGAGAGTCACACATGGCTTTTCTCTCACAGTCACCGTCACGCGCGTAATTAAACACTTCGACCCCAGTCCGTGAAATCGACCATTATACGAGCTGTTTAATGGGACTCCATTAGTGGGGGACTTTATAATGTCACCCGGTGCAAAAAGAATCTCTGTCTTTATTATTATTATTTTTTTTTTTTACTTAAACCATTTTTTGTACAACCAATTTTTTTTAGGTTGCCAAAACCCCGATGATGCATCGAAATGCTTTATCATATTAGTGCAGTGCTGTTACCGTTAAGTGTGTGTCAAAAACCTGGGCCCTTAAACGCTCATGCATGTGTTGTGATGTGAAACTATTGAGTATGGGATAATAATTTGGCTAGTTATGGTGAATGTTGTATAAAGACTGTTTCCCCTAAATGCAGATTTTTTTCAAGAGGTAAACTGACATGGCTTCTTTGTATAGGCTAAACTCAAGGAACTGCATGGTGGAATTTATTTTGTGAGTTTGGGATGGTGAGTGTCAGAATAGTGGTTCTAATGCATATTAAAGTATGTGAGTAGGCTATGTGGTGCTTGTGAATGAGGCCTCAGTCCATCTGCCCTGTTCAAAGCAGCTGATTCCGGAGATTCGTTTGTTCTGGCTGGAGATAAATGGACACACAACAATAACAGAAAAGACAACAATAGCAAAAGAAAGAGGTCTAGACCCGTGCATACCGGACCTCAAACAGAGAGGGGAATAAAACAGAGCACGAGTGTTTCCTCCTCCTGAATGAACGTCACTTACAGCAGCAGCGCCTTCACGCTCCGCTGCTCTCCACTGCTTTAAGTATTCCCGCAATATTAGAGGAGTCATGAATAACAATTATTCTGAGGAGGTGTAGCGAGTGAACGGACGGAGCACTGCGCACTCTGGATCGGGAACAGCACCACCGAGACCTGGAGCAACAGGGTTCCTATAGCCTACGAGAAGTCATTTGAGCTGAAAAAACAAGTTTTTGTTCCGTGTGTGGTCATGAGGAGTTGAGAAAGGAGCGCGTTTCTTCAGGCGAGCGTGTATCGTGCTGTCGCGTGTCCTTCTGCTCACCGCGAGCTCGCGCTTTTCCGCACAGATGTTAGTGCACACGTATTCCTCCACGGTGAGTCTAGGAACACCAACAATACTTTATAAACGCACTGTGGGGAAGGCGACCTGTTTAATGATGCCTTTGCCCCATTTTTGTGATGTTTTGAGGAGTTAAAAAGTCGGAAATTAGCATTTTAAAAGCATATGTAGGCTACTTTTTAGGATCGCTACGGACGCCGAGATATATCCTTTAGGCTTTTGTTGGATCCGGTCCAGTAGCCTAACATCCTCAAAAGTTTATTTCATTCCTCAAATAGAACATTAAAACAAATGTTTGCATAGATTCGCATGTAACCGTGTTTATATTCTCTTCCCGTTTGAAGGACCGCCATGATGGGGTACCGAGCCACAGTTCCAGACTGTCCCAGCTGGGTTCGGTCTCTCAGGGTCCGTACTCCAGCGCTCCGCCGCTCTCACACACACCGTCCTCGGACTTCCAACCACCGTACTTTCCCCCGCCGTACCAGCCGCTGCCGTATCACCAGAGTCAGGATCCGTACTCGCACGTCAGTGACCCGTACTCTCTGAATGCTCTCCACCAGCCCCAGCAGCACCCGTGGGGCTCCCGTCAGCGGCAGGACGTGGGCACGGAGAGCGGAGCTTTACTCCCGCAGCCTCGAGCCTCTTTACCGCAGCTCTCGGGTCTGGACCCCCGGCGGGACTACTCGACCGTGCGCCGACCGGACGTGCTGCTCCACTCCGCACATCACGGGCTCGAGGGCATGGGAGACGGGCTTTCCCTCCACGGCCTGGCGCACGGCATGGAGGATGTGCAGGTTGGTTATGATTTATGGTTTTGGATTTTTTTGGCTTGGACAACAACCTCTTTTTTGACAAATGTTTTCATGCTTTGTTATCACATTTTTTCATTTGTCAAATCCATTTAGACAATTTATGTGGTTCAGATAACATAACATTTTAAGTTTCTGTTGATTAAACCAATCTCCTGCATTGTATTAACTCGTTTTTTAAATTTCAATGTAGGCTACTAACAATTTTAAGTTAAACCAACAATTTGTTTACAGTGTAGAAATTGCACAGAGACGTGGACTACATTTTTGGAGTATAGTTTTCTTTTGCAGAGATGAGTTAACCATTTTATTTAACGAATTAATTTAGTTTAGATTTTTACTGTTACCCCATACTGTTTTAAATAATTGCAACTCTATTATGACAACTCTGTAGCCTATATTTTCAGGGTGTTTTCTGACCTGTTGACATTTTTGTTATATAAATATTTTAACCGATTGAATTATTTCATAAACAGTATCCTATTAATAAAAGGAGTCCAAACTTATAGGCTACATGGAGCTTAACATTTTAAATAGCCTAAAGGCATGCTTGTTATTCAATCATTTGTTGTCGTGGTAAACACATTTTAATTTGTTATTTGTACGTGATAAATAATATTTAAAAGGATTAAGGAAGGGAAACGTGAGTTAGCCTAGGCTGAAAATAATTGTTGCAATGGAATGAAAACATTAAAAACAACAAATATATTAAGGCTTCTTTACTGGGTTCACTTTTCTAACCATCTGTTTTTTGATCAATATTCCTCTGCACACATCATGTCTGATTTCGTCAATTGACAAGTTTCTGAGTAATATAAATTTTTAGACAAGGCCTGTCCCCGTTCAGTTGACTGGATAATGACTGTCTGACTCTCTTCCCAAAATAATTATAAAGCTGACATCTGACTTTTTTTTCTTCTTTAGAATTGATTGTTTCGTTTCAATTAAATCCAGATTAGTTTATGTTTCCCGACGAAGGCAGGACCATTAATAAAACTCATTTAGAAAACTTAAATGGAAAATGTTTTATTCTGAACAAATAAGTGAAAAAAATGGGAAATATGAGACCTAAATGTTTTTAAGCAAAATTTTAATTACTCATGTTCGCTATTTGCATCCGCTTTATTTTTATTTTTATTTAGCCTATTTATTTGCCCCTGAAATGTAAGCTATTTCTATTTATTTATTTTTGCCAATGTCTCTGGTCGAATTCACTTTAATTTTCTAAACTAAACAAAATGGCTAGTTATCTAATTTTTTTTAATTGGTTGTGGCTTTTGTTCAAACGTTAAATGCTTTCACATTATGATGTATTTCTAGGCTTTGGAGGACGCAAACGGCGGGATGAACATCCTGGATCAGTCAGTCATTAAAAAAGGTAAATGATAAAATAGCTTCTAGAATGCTGGCTATGTCAGTATTTACGCTAATGTGATATTTTTCAATTATCAACAGCACCGTTTTGGAAAACGAGCAGATATAAACAATCACTGCTTTATGAATTTAGGGCAAAAAGTCATTTCAGGTGAACACACCTTAGCGCACCCCTTTACGCATGCGCTGAACCACATCTGGTATTCAAATGATGTCACCTGGCTGGCAAGTGGAATTGGGGACCATTAAATAGGCCTATTATTTTAAAATCACATAGGGTAGCTAGGCTACTGTTAGGATCGTTAAAGCCGCAAGTTCTTATCAGCTGTCTCTTATTTTATTCATAGGCCTCTTATTAACATAGAGGGCAAATTCCAGATTTATGTATGCCTATCTAAATTTTTCTTGGACAAAAACAGAAAACATGACTGTGTAAAATCAACATTTCAGCACCACATTGTTGAAATAAGTTCTCCACGGAGGTTTTGACATATTTACTCCGAGATAAGGCGTTCATGCAGTCATAAGAGCTCCAGCAACACTCCCTAGGCTCGTGTTAATATGTGTCCGTTATGAAGGACGTTTGCCGGTAATTTAGTTAACGGAACACGGGCCTCCCAGAAGAGAAGGCCTTTAAGTGGGCGCTGTGATGGATGGTTTTCTGAGCACAGATCTCGTGAGCTCGTTTACAGCTCGTTTTCTCTATTATCCCCTGTAGAGATCTCCGCGGGCACGCGCGCTCGTTACCCCATTAGCGCTTAAGTTAGGCTAGTTGACGTCCTTTGACGGTCAGCGTGTGAGAGTGTGTGTTTTTGGGGGGTGAAAAATAAGTGGTTAATGTTATTAGCTTGTGTCCGTCACCAATCGATAATACAACAAATGAGCGTATGTTGAAATGCCAATGTGGAAACAAAAGCTGATAGGAAGTGTGACTGAATTGGGAAATAAATGAATCTCAATCACAGTGAATATTGCTAACCGCACAAACTGCACCATGAAATCCACATTCCTTTTCAATGTAACTCCATAGATATATAGGCTACAGTTGGCAACATGCTTATATAACATCATTAATTGAATAATAACAATTGACCATTTCCACATTTCCGGGTTTCTCAGCGGAAGTCGTCATAGCTGGGTAAACTTCCATGAGACTAGCTTTTTCGTGTTCCCATTTGCTCAAAAAATACAATAAAAACTCTACAATAGTGTTTACACAGTTGACTTTCAAAAGAGGGAAAATAGAGATGATTGATAGCCACTCCCACAGCCGCTGTATTAGAAACACCCTCACAGCATTAACTAGCCTATTTTTTTATTTGATGCAAAGGTAATCTAATACCATAATACAAAGTAAGCCTATAATGTTATAAATGTAGGCTGCATAAATGTTTTAAAAAAATTAAGGATGTATAATGCTGATGTGATGACCCATAAAACGCCCATAAAAAAATGCTCCATAAAACCGCAGGCTTGTTTGAATTTCTAAACAATTCTGGCTTGCTTTCTATTGAACGTGGAATTAACGTATGAAAACAGGAGCACGCGCTGGCAGCTCCGGGCGCGTGCGGGGTGACCCTGGCCAGCCGAGGGCTCGAGCTCACGGCGCTTTCATGTGCCAAGATTTTACATTACATAATATTCTCACAGGCTGTCTGTAACTAGTCTAGACATTGTTTTAAAATACTAGCTTACCTGTTTTATCACTGGGGTCATTTTGTGAATACAAAATGACAGGTAGTGTAAAGCGGCCATCATTCACAATAGTTAAATGTGAGTATATAGCCTAGGTCTTTAGCTCAAATTTCTGTTTGATTCTCTCGCACAGTTCCAGTTCCTCACAAGAGCGTCGCTTCTCTGATGATGAACAAAGACGGTCTGATCGGCGGGATCTCCGTGAACGCGAACGAGGTTTTCTGCTCGGTTCCTGGACGCCTGTCGCTTCTCAGCTCCACATCCAAATATAAAGTGACTGTTGGCGAGGTCCAACGACGCCTCTCTCCGCCAGAGTGCCTGAACGCTTCTTTGCTTGGCGGGGTTTTGCGGAGGTGAGAACATCACACACCGCCAGAACCAGTGTAGAGGTCAATGCATTAAAGACAAAAAAATTGTTATAGGCCTATTAAAAATCTTGCATTTAATTTGAAACTCAAACATCGAGTTTCTGCTGTTAGCATTTTCTGACTTAGCGTATTTGTTGTTGTTTTGGGAGAGAGAAATAGTTTTTTTATTATTATTACTTCCAATAAGATATCTAGTTTTGAATCATGCTGTCAATCCGTAATGAAACATATCTAATTATCCATTTTCTGATCAGAGCGAAGTCGAAAAATGGCGGTAGATCGCTGAGGGAAAAGCTGGAGAAAATCGGCTTGAATTTGCCCGCGGGGAGACGCAAAGCAGCGAATGTCACTTTACTGACGTCTCTAGTAGAAGGTAAAGCAGGACATCTGATTCTGATTCCCATGTTTTCTTCATTTCCTCGATTTTTTCTATGTGTTTGGGAGTTTAGCCTCATCAAATAATCACCAATTCCAATGGAAAATTATTTCTTTTTTTTTAAATTATCGTAACATATAGTTTATCTGTTTAATCGTCCATCTTGAATAATTGTAGGCTACAATTTAAACCTAAATTAAAATTTGTATAACTCACTATCATAATGCAAAATGCAATTTTATTGCTTTGAGTTTCTATAATCTGCTTTTTGCTTAGCCCAATGCAGCGTAAATAGTAGGCTAGCTAACAAATGGAAAAGCACTAAAACGAAATTTTACCCATGTATAGCTAATTTCATATAATTATTGTTGTGAGTGAGTGCCTTATTGATGCTGCAACACAATTTTTCATTTGGTTAATCTCTTCCTCCAGCTGAGTTCAACTATACTGCTGTAATTTAGTAGCCTATAAAATATTTTATGCGAAAATGTGCAGGATCCCAGCTAATTCCCTTTTACTATATTGCATTTATTTTTCATTTCCAGGAGAAGCAGTTCATTTGGCTCGGGACTTTGGCTACATTTGTGAAACTGAATTTCCTACAAAGGCCGTGTCTGAATATCTGAACAGACAACACACAGATCCAAACGAACTGCACTCGAGGAAGAACATGCTGCTCGCCACAAAGTACGTACATACGTGTCACAACGTGTTTGTTGCATGCGTAAGTGATATTTATGCACTGGAAGACTGGGAATCGCTTGAGCAAATGTGTAGCCACATTTAGAGGTGAATGCGGAATCCATCACGGATTGCTGGGGAGTGTGTCGTTTTGATGGCTGTCCGCTTAGTGCCTGGTGCGTTTTGACACGTTTAGCTGGTTTCTAATGAGGCAGTTCAGGCCCAGCAGAAACACGCGTCTCTTATCCATCTTAGCCTGGCACCGAGCTAGAAACTCATTATATTTAAGTGAAATGTTTCAAGTCTTAAAGTGCCAGCTTTCCCCTTGAAGTTTTGCCTAAGGTCATCCCTCCTCCCTCGCCTCTCCTTTCACAGTCTGTCTGTCAAAGTCCCGTCAGTCAGCCCCGCGCCCGCGCGCCCCCGCCCCCTGCACGCGCCTCGGGCTCTTCGCGCGCTGCGCTCTCCCGACTGGACAACAAGACTGTTTGTGGTTCTGAGACGTGAAAGCGAATGTGGGTCAAAATCTGACAAGCCCAGACAACTGCAGATGCCGCAGCAGGGCCCTGCAACACTGCCAGTTGGAGGCATTTGAACTGTTTGTCACAAATGACCTTTTAGAGATTGAAGTGTGATCGTTCGCTCGGTTTCACGTTACACCTCCATGCATTATTATTATTACAATATGAACAGATTACACAAGTACATTTGGGTAGCCTACATGCTGTTAAACCCTTAAGAATTTAATATGAATTCATGTTTTGTCATGCATTTTTTCAAAATATTTACAATGCATCAATTGTAAATTACTTTAACGCTGCAAGAAAATATGAATGATCTTGCTGATAGACTAATATTAATATCATACGTTGGTCACAATAAGCGCAAGATCCATATTTAAACTGTAAGCTGATAAGCGGAGGTCAAATGTTGAAAGATGTCATGTCATCTGGGCACATGGCTAAAAGTTATTCTTTCCCCTTTATGATTCCCCAAAGCAAGAAAGGCATGAATATTTAGTGCACTACCTCTTTCAGGAAGTGAAACACGCTGAGAACGGCATTTTCCTCGGTAATGACAGATAAAGGCACACTCCCAGTAGACTGGAAGTTAAATTGATGGCTTTATTCTAATTTATAGGCTTTTCTCTCAGAAGCAGAAATATGCAGACTTTGCTCTGAGGGTATAAAGTTCTGTATCTCTTTTCTTGTGTATGGACACTGCACAGAGAGTTTCATTTAAAGTAGATGGTACACTTTTTGTTTAAAAAATGAAGAAAAAAAATATTTTGCAGAAATATTTTTGGGGACTTTTTGGTCACAATGTGATTGGGGGATGAGAAATAGATATTTTACCCATGATTCCCAGGGACACAACATAACTGAACCTGTCAGAGCACCTGTTTTCCTAAGTGTTTTCTATTACTCAGAATGAGATCATTAAGAATGATAACTTCTTAAAATAAAATAAAAAATAATTTTGATGAGTTAAAACAATATAAAAACACTTATTTAACAGTGCTATTGTAATCAGTTTTACTGTTTGATGAGAGTCTGACATATTGAAAGTTTTCAATAAATATTTTCTAATTCTATCTATTTCATCATAAATGTCCAAATGCTAAAGTCACAGTGTTGGTAATTTATGGATGAGGGTTTTCAGAGTTATAATGTGGCTTTGATATTATGTATGAGGTTCTCCTTTATAATCAATATTTCACACAAAGTTAAAAGAATATGTAGATTTATATATAAAGAAATAAGTTGGAATATCCATGGCTGTAAGTTGACAGTTTCTGTTGTGGGATTTTTAATGGAATCAGGGTTGGCGTCTGTTCCATTTGACTGTTTAATTCAACTTATGACTTAAATTCATTTCTTGAAAAATGCATGCTGTAATCCATGAGCGAGTAGGTCGCTTTTCCTTAACTGATACAGAAGATCAAGCACAAACCTTCAGATATGTTCTGATAAATGTGAATAAAGAATTTGTCATGCATGATGTGCCAGGAAAAATGACATGACATTCTCTGATTGGATCAGTGTGTAGATGGTGAAGGAATTGGATAGGAAACAGTTAATATAGTGCAACTGTGACTGATCCTCAAACTCACCTGACTAGTCTTGCTCATATCAGAGCATATCTAGCTAAATCTTGTGCATTTATTGGCATTTTAATTTGACGTTATTTCAGAATAGGAAATGCAGTTCCTCTAGTGACCTTGCAGACATGAGACAAGCAACAATACATGTAGAAAATGAACATAATATGCAAAAAATTTTACCAGCCAGACAGCATATATGAATACACTCTTAAGGTTCCATTCCATAAAAGGTTCTTTTGATTATTAAATGTTCTTTTCACGAAGAAAACAATTCTTTTGAACCGTTGACTGAATGGTTCTTTGGGAGAACTACGGAATTTTTTTTTTTTAAAGTGTACACTTAGAAACAAATATTTAATATATAAAATATATCCTTCTATATAATGAGAAATGTCTCAGATGATTGCAACACTTTTATGTTTCATGGTGATAAAATGTTTATGAGCCGTTTAATTGAAAAATGAATTCAAACAAAATACAGATGACAGAACCTTTCATTCTAGAGTGAAAGTTCATCCAGTGACCTTGTACAGACACTCCACATGAGACAAGCAACAATAAACACAACAATACCTCTTTAAAATAATGGTTTCACATTGACCCCACAGAAGAACCATTTTTGGTTCCCTAAAAGAATCTTTCATTCAACAGTTCTTAAAAAGAACCTTTTGATTCCTTAACATTCTAATAATTCAAAGAAAGTGTTCCACTATAGAAGAAAAACTTCCATGGATGTTAAGTTCTTCATGGAACCATAAATGCCAATAAAAAGCTTTATTTTAACAGTAGTACCGAAAAGTTAAATGAACACGACTGTACGAATATGTTAAATCGAATCAATAAAATTGAGGCAACAGATTACACTCAATATTATTAATTACATTTAACAAATTAGAAATGAGTAACAATTAAACAAATGAATTAATAGTTAACCATTTAAAATGAGTAGAATTTAGTTTTTAGAATATTTCTAAAAACTAATGATTGTGAATTAATGATTATGTTAACTTAACCAACACCTTTTCTATTTGTTCATCTGGCGGTTATAATTCACGTTTAACAGACAAACAACATCTAAAGTGAACGATTTAAGGGTCAAGAGCCCAACTAAAACACACACTGATCACCATAATGGTGACTAAAAAATTACGTTTTTCTCCTTCAGTGATTCAGTCAGTCTGTTATTCCGTTATTATGCATTTTACCCATTTTAAATGGTTAACTTGTAAGTAATTCATTTGGTTACTTATTAATCAATTCTAATTTGTTAAATGTAAGTAATAATATTGATTGTAATGTGTTGCTTCAATTTTATTGATTAGATTTAACGTATGCAGTCGCATTGTTGAAAGGAGCATTATAATTTTTTTTCCACCGTGAGAAATAATTATTGCTCATAAGTGTATTTCACTTCAAATTAGCCTCTAATTCTTCATTTATAGTATTGAGTAAACTCTCTGGCCGCCACCTCCGGCAAGATTTCCTCGTAATTAAACACAAATTGTCTCTCTTGTGGAAAGCGTCGTGCTAGTTACGGTCCAGTCCATCACTGATGTTAGATCTACGACAGAGATTCACCATATTCTGACAAACCATATACTCGATTCATTACAAATGAAATTCTCAGTCTGATTATTCATAAACGGACTATAAGCCAAATTTGAAAACTTGAACACATTCTTTATAACACCTCGGGGATTATTCAGAATAGCTCGTCTGTGCACTGTAAAAAATATTTCCAAGATTTGTTATCACAACATATTTTCATTTGTCAAATCAACTTTATAATAATTTATTTAGCTGAGATAACTTATTATTTTGAGTTTCTGATGGTTAAATGAATCGACTTCATTGTATTAACACACTTTTTCCAGTTCAATCAACTTAAAATTTTAAGGCAACCCAGGTTACTTACTTTTTTAAGTTAAACCAACAATTTTTTTACAGTGTAGTAATCACAACATTTTTTCTTTTGTCAAATCAACTTAAATAATTTATTTAGTTCAGATAACATATAATTTTGAGTTTCTGATGGTTAAATCATTCTCCTTCATTCTATTAACTCACTTTTTCCAGTTCAATGTACTTAAAATTTTAAGGCAACCCAGGTTACTTACTTTTTTAAGTTAAACCATCAATATTTGTTTTACAGTGTGGAAATGAACGGGAGAGCAGTTTTTGTTGTCTATCTTTGCATGGTCTGTGATATGAATCGTCTCTCTCCATCTCTCTTCTCAGGCAGTTGTGTAAGGAGTTCACGGACCTGTTGGCTCAGGATCGCACTCCATTAGGAAACTCTCGGCCTTCGCCCATCCTGGAGCCAGGAATCCAGAGCTGCCTGTCACACTTTAGCTTCATCACGCACGGGTTTGGTTCTCCAGCCATCTGCGCCGCCCTCACGGCTTTGCAGAATTACCTGACTGAAGCCCTTAAAGGCCTCGACAAGATGTTCCTGAACAACCCCACTTCCAACCGACACACATCTGTAGACGGACCCGGCTCCAAAGGCGGAGAGAAAGAGGAAAAACACAGGAAATGAACTGTGGAAATACGATATCAAGGAGGCGGAGTCATTGGAGATGTTCAGAGATTCTATAAACTCTAGTTTTATGACATTGCGTTTTACATTCTGGGTTGAAGGTGGAGATTGGACAGGAGATCACGGGAAAGCGAAAGGAACGATACGATCCTGGAGGACATGAGTCTGCCGTGACACGTTCACCATCTTCATCTCATTGGTGTGCGAGTGTGAACATATTCAAGGAGTGTTTGTGAGTGTGTGTTTTTGTGTATAAACGTTTGACATTGGCTTTGACATGTCCTTTACACACATGCTCATGAATCTGAACCTGCTATTTGAGTGTTCTTCGATGTAATGGCCAGCACATGAGAGGACAGGTTTGGTGGAGACACTTTTAGCTACTATATTTAATTATACTTATTATTATACAAAATTATTGCTGCACAGTTCTGCAATATTAAATACATTCCATTCAGCCTTCGCCACGATTACAGTAAAACAAATTCACACTAACATGTGAATTTGCTCCATCGCTTGAAAGAGAGACAACTTATTCAAATCTAGGAGATTTTATTGCATTTATTGCAATGAAATAGCGTTAGCCAAAAAGAGGCTGTGAATGTGCTATCATGCTAGTTACGTTACAGTCCATCACTGATGTTACGACAGATTCACATTTACATTATCACAGCAATTCATTACAAATGAAGTTCTCAAACTGATTATTCACATAAAGATACCAAAAGATTTAACATATTCTTTCAAACACCCTGGGCAATATTCAGAATAGCTTGTCTACAAAAATGCAAGAAAGAAAGCAATTTTGTCATTTTTGGTTGTATTTCTTTGTATTTGAAACTGCTCTTAGTGCTGTCTTGGTTGTGAGGACATTTCCAGCAGGTTACTTTTAACATGGCAATCATCTTAGCTGACCAAATGACATTTCATCTGTTGCTTATGTATTTTTTTTTTAAATGTATACTAACATTTACACAGACTTAAATCAACATAGACAAAGAAAACACATTTTATGGCCTAAATATGGATTATTTGTTTTACAACCCTACATCGGCTGAATGGAAGCTTGCTTTGACCGTGGTGTTGACAGTGTCAACGAAACAAAAAAGAAAAAAAGAAGACTTTTGAAAACAGACTGAAAAAGGGTCTGCGTAAAACTGAGGAAAGGACAGGTGACCGCGCGTGCTGGGACACGGCCACGCGCAGCTTTTACGCGCTCACCTCAACCGGCGTGTGCGCGCACTTTCGCAGTCCCGCGCGCAAGCTGGATTATAGCCTGTCTGTCAAAGTTAATATTGGGTTTACTGTGCGCGGAAGGCTCTTTTATTTATGTTTGTATATATTTATTTATGCTTAATTTAATGGGCGTATGTACATAGGAATAGACTGGGTCGTCTATCTGTGACTGTCTCTGTGCGTGGGTGAACGCTTGTTTTAGATAGCATCTTGTATTTTTTGTTTCATAGATAGGGTGTTATGTGGTGAAGGCTAGAAGTTGGTTCTTGTCTGGTGATTTTCATTTACCTCGAAATAAGAATAAAACGTGTGTTTTATTGTAGGTGTTGCAGTGTGGTTGGTCAACCCCTCTTGTTTCATCATGTGACAGTTTAAACGAACAAAAACGTTTATTAAAGTAGTTTTAATTAAAAAAAGTGCTACATCCATAATAACTATTAAATATAGCTAATATGTTACGTTCACGGAGATACCATTAGTAATCATTTTATTTGCATTAAAAGTATATTTTTAGACAATGTAGTCAGGCAACATGCCAATACATTTGTCCAAATGCAACTTTTTTTTTTTAAATGATCATAGCCTTCAGAATTTAGAAAATAAATTATTAAATCATAAACCTCAGTATGTTTTCACCCAAAGCATAGCCTATATAGGCTACATGTTTTCTTTAAACTGTTCCTTGGATAGGCTTATTTTGTTAATAGGTATACAGAACTAAGGGAGGTAATAGGCCTACTGTGAGAAATAAATAAGCTGCATTCAATTAAATGTCAGTGTTGTCAGTTGTATTAACAATATTAGGTCAGAATTTAACTTTGGACCTTAAGCGTTGTTTATAGTCTAATCATAAACGGATCAGCTAAAGATTGAAGGGGATATTTGTAAAAATATATTTATATTAAAACGTAAAGATCGGTCATTAAAAGACCTTTAGGCTAAAATTATTGTGAATATTGTTATTATATAGGCTAAACATCTCGTAATATTTTCATCATCAAACACTGACTTAGCCTAATGCAATTAGCAGAAAGGAAATCAACTAAATGTAAAACGGAAATGAGAATTCTGCTTCCTGTCTCGTTTTAATGCAAGCAAAGAATGCCCAAATTGATCGAAAACAATCCCTTGAAGGCGTGCGTCCGCGGTCGTGGCAGTAAAGGGAACTCATATCCCGGCCGCAGGTCAGACCCCGCGCGCATCAGCTCGCGCTGGTGTATTTAATGCGGAGGAGCGCGTGGCCCGCGGGTTCCGTCGCGTGACTCGTCATGCGTGAAGTATTGTGACCCAGGTGCAGCACCCGCATGTCCGCGAGCGACGTGGATCTCGACTAGATTCAGAGATTTCTCTTCAGCAGAAAAAAAAAAGACTAGCCTCCCTCTTACCCACGGGACCTGAAACAACACAAGCAGAGATCTTTCATCCTTCCCTCGAACTCGGTTCTCATTACCTCAGAAAGAAGAAAAGAAGAAAAAAAAAAGAAAAAACAATAGGCTACAACAAAAGCCCATAAGACCAAACCCATATCTAATATTACTGATTTTGGCTACTCAATAATGACTTTAAACAATAGCTAGTTTTTAATCAAATAGGCATCTATTCCGGAGAATAAAAAATAAAATGCGTCAACAAAATGTCCAATAGTCCACGAAAAGCAATCAAACAACTGACACAATTTTGAGCTCTTTTATTTAAAGTTGAAACTAAACATTCATGATTGGTTGAAGCCATGTGTAAGCTAAGTTGAAAATCGGTCATTAAAAATCCATTTATCCTTCATGATCACGGGAAAGACACAATGGCATGAATACAATGCCAAAACATAAAATATCGATTAATTGATAGACCTCGGGCCTGGTCACGTCACTAAAATGGATCTGCTAATGCGTCTTAAGACTAAAGTTTTTTTTTCTTCTATTTTTCATCATCTTATTTTTTCGGGATGAGCGGAGAAAGATGAGCTTTGTTTGAGCTTTCAGGTCCCCGTGCTCGCTGTCACGCAATGGACTGTAAAAATGGTTTATCCAGACACGCGCCGGGCGCGCGTAATTCCTGCTTGAGGCGTGATGACCGCAGGCAGCGCGAGCCTAACTGATCAACCTGGATATTTCATTATTCATTAATTTACTGTTTAACAAATCCCGCTCATTATCACGGGAGCGGCTGGCAAGATCCGACCGTTCGGCGGCAGTTGGTGTCAGGCGTGGAGAATTGGCACATTTGATCCTGAGCTGTTTTTTCTCTCTCTGTGTATTATTATTATAGGCTATTCAACATCCCGAAACAGCTCGAGATCGTCATGAATAATAAGCAGCGCGCGAGCTTGTCAAAGCCCGTTGAGCGTGACACAGCCTGTGGAAAAAATCGAGGCGTTTTTAATATTAACCCCCACTTCAGTCACTATTTGGAAAAGACAAAACAACACGCTGATAAACTCGGAGATATGCGATTACTACGGCAATGACACGCGTCCACAGTGGACGAGAAGGACATCAAACGCAAAGTGTCTCATAAGGCAGTTTAAAGGTTCTGTAAGCGATTATTTTGGAATAACAAACACATGCTCCTCTATACCTGAGATAGCACTGAAATATTAAGTGTCCTGAGATATCAAATCTGCCTTAGGGAGCGGCCCGCCTTTTTAGCCAATCAGAAAACTTTAGCCAATCATAAACACGCTCTACCTGTCAATCATTTTGCGCGCCTTCGTGAGTGAGGACCCTTTCCACACACTATGATGACGCGTTTGTACTGTCATGTAAATAATGTAAACGTTTTTTTTTAATTTGGTCTTTTTTATATAAACATAAATGTATGACACTATTTAGTAGCCTATTATATTACCTTTGCGTCACATTATAAAACGCTGCTGTGAGGGCGTTTCTAATACTGGCTGTTGGAAGTGATGGTAAAGTTGACATCTTTCTCTCTTCTGACTGCCTTTATCAATCTCTCTCTATATATATATTTTTTACTATAGCCTCTAGATCCTTATTCATCGTATGGTGTCGTTTAATGCCCTTTGAAGCTGCACTGAAACTCTCATTTGGACCTGAACCGTTTGGTTCCCATTGAAGTCCATTATATGGAGAAAATCGTGGAATGTTTTCATCAAAAACCTTCATTTCATTCGACTGAAGAAAGAATAACATGGACATCTTGGATGACATGGGGGTGAGTAAATTATCAGTAAAAGTTTTTTTAAAAGTGAACTACTCCTTTAAATGGATAGGCCACACGCAGTTTTTTGAGCACGTAAATAACGAACCACGACTCACTACTTTGTAGCATTCCAGGCCACCTGAGCGCAAGGAATTGTGGATGTAAACAAACCAGCATGGCGGGGCTTATGCGCTTTTGTAATCATTTCTGTCGCCAAAGGTTCTTACTCAGCGCGCAAGGAAAGATAATCTGATATCTTTTATTTTATTTGTATATTTGGAAATGTAGCCTATTTGGGATTAATTATTTATCCTTGCACTCAATGAACTGAAAACTAATTATTAACGTTATATTGTCCTAAGTGTATTCACACCGTGTACCGCTGTAGAAACACTGCATCTAGGTTCTGCCATTGTTGTTTTGTATGGTTTCGCGGGCTTTGTGACGTCAGAGCTCGTAAACGGTAGTACACTTTTACAGTCTATGGTAGCACATCGATCTAGTAAGAGTTCACGTGTGGGAAGTCACGGGTTTGACAACACCGTCCCAGTGCACTTTCACAGGTAAGGTTGGGAAACTGCTTTCGTACAGATTTACTTTTGAAACTTTAAGTTGCAGTAGGCTACTATTATTGACTTCTGTTTGATAAACCGCTTGTGAGTTTCATTTGTAAGTGCCTTTAGATAACAGCATCCACTAAATGACTAAATGTAAATCTAGGCCTCTTGCAGTAGTGAATGGTTAATCAATGTCATCTTTCATTAACTGAGCATGACGTCGTTAATAGTTGTGGCGTACAGTCTCTGTACGCATAACTTCAGTCCTGTTTAATGGTTCATTGAATCAAAACACCTCCATGACCTCATCATCATTCACTGTGCTTTTACCCCAGCTCTACATCTTCCTTCCACATGCACTTTCAAAGCAGAGAACATGAAGGAGCTCACTCCAGGTAATGTATTTGATTTAAGATTCTTCAAGGGTTACTTAAGTTTTGCATTGAAGCTAAGCACAAAGAAAGGCTATAAAGGTGTTTGTTTGTTTTGTAATTTTCCAATACGATTCTCCAGGTATCAAACACAGATTCATAAAAATACACACACAGTAGTAATGCCTACTAATGCAGTTCTGGTTTTATTTGATGTGTGTTTGTGGTTTTGGCTCATTGGGTTTGTGTGAGTAAATGATTGATAAAGTTCAGCTTTGATGTTTCTTCGTATACACACATACACGCACAGTCTTATTCTCCTCGAATTTGCTTTGGGAACTTGTCATTCTTTGCATCTCAGCTAATAATACACAGACAGTTCCTCTTTTAAATTGTCAATTAACTTTGTGGAATTATTAGAAAATAATTAATTAATTTGCCCGAAAATTCCAACACTAAAAACTTATATCCATCCATTATTGATCCTGAAACATTTATGGCATTGGATTTCCCAAAGGTTCTGGATTGATTTTGAAATGTTGCGCACATATCAAGCTGTCTTGAATAAATATTTGATATTTTAGAAAGAAAGAAAGAAATAAAACTAATAAAATCCCTAAAAAATAGAGAGAATAAGCACTCTAAAAAAATGCTGGGTTGTTTCAACCCAAGTTTGGGTCAAATATGGACAAACCCAAATGTTGGGTTAAAAATGCAATTAAAAATGTAGCCTACAGTTGAAAGTGAAAGTTGAAGTTGGGTTAAAATTTGAAATGACATTTTTAACCCAACATTTGGGTTTGTCCATATTTTACCCAAATTTGGGTTCAAACAACCCAGCATTGTTTAGAGTGAGACAATCCCACCTATTCATTCTAAACTAAATATTTAAAGGGATAGTTCACCCAAAAATGAAAATTCTGTCATCATTTTCTCACCCTCATGTTGTTCCAAACCTGTATGAGTTTCTCTCTTCTGTTGAGCACAAAACAAGATATTTTGAAGAATATTGGTAACCAGACAGTTGACTTTCATAGTATTTATGTTATTTTGTGTTCAACAGAAGTGGTTTGAAACAACTTGAGTAAATATGGGTCAGAATCTTCATTTTTGGGTGAACTATCCCTTTAATTTTTCAAATGAACTTCTGCAATACTTTAAAATGAGCAAAAAACAAAAAAACAAAGCTATTGAATTTACCAAATGTATACACTCTAAAAATTTGCTGGGTTGTTTTAACCCAACTTTGGGTCAAATATGGACAAACCCAGACATTGGGTTACATTTTTTAATTACATTTTAACCCAATGTTTGGGTTTGTCCATATTTGACCCAAAGTTGGGTTAAAACAACCCAGCATTTTTAGAGTGTAGCACTGATTTTGTGATCAGCTCTGTGAATATGTGTGTGTGTTTACATGTAGGTTTGTGAGTTAGCAGCTGCTGGTGCTGCTGAGACAAGAGAAAAACAGGCCAAGGTTATGAATCCAGAAAACACTCATTCTTCTCAGTAACCTGCACACATAGACACAGAAACAATCTGAGCCATCACAATCTAAAGGATTAGTGTAGGCAACAATGAAAAGTCTGTCATCATTTCCTCACCCTCCTGCGGCCGCCAAACTCATGGTCTTTTCTATCCAACCCAGGCATAGGACAGGAGAGAGTACTTTATTCAATCCCTGGGGGGAAACTGAGGCATTGCAGCGCACATCAATTGCACAACAGGAAAGACAACAACAAATGCAATACAAAAATACAGAAAGAGAATTACACCCAAAAAAATCATGTACTATGAAACAGTTTTCGCTTAGAAAATGCTAGTAAACATCACAAATAGTTGCAAAGAAATGTGGTTAAATGTAATAATTTAGAAAGGCTCAAATAGTATTTTCTTGTAAAACATACTCCAATATCCTTTATTTGCAATCACTAGTGGACAATAACCAGGGGCAGTCAAGCTTCAAAAAGGACCGAATCAGCGAATAACAACTCAAATTTCTGTCCGCTTATCATTCACAACTATATGACTTCAGAAGACTTGGATAGCGACGCGTATAGTCCTGACTATTTTTATGATGGGTTTTCTTTCCCATTTTGAGTTTCACATCTTCATGGACACAAATATGCAGAAGAGCACAAATATGGAGCTACATGATCATTGTTAGGGTGAATTATTCCTTTAATCTTCAAACAAAAGAGAGACGTTTGTGTGCAGAACGTGTACTTGCACGCTTCATGTCTCACCTGTGCTTCAGGTGTCAGTTTGCTTTGTTTCTCTTCAGGCATTTAGTACTTCATTTCCCAACCTGCACCACTGGACTTGCTTTTGTGTGTGTGTGTGTGTGTGTGTGTCAGAGAGCCTGCAGGTCTAACTAGCTAATGCATTGGTGATCTCTCTCTATAATGTCCCACACACACACACACACACACACACACACACACTCTGCTCAGGATTTAATGGCCTCTGTGGGTGGTGGGGGAAATAAAAATGAACGTTCACAATATAATATAGGCTACTGTTTGAATAAGTAAAATATTATCCTTGTGCTTATGGTGAGCTTTATAGTGTTTGTCTGGAACAGTCTGTTGAACATACAATTACAATTATAAACTCTGATGAGATGAGTGAACCTCTCTCTCCCTCTCTTTCTCTCTCTCTCTCTCCCTCTCTCTTTCTATCTCGCTCTCTCCCTCTCTCCTCTGCTTTGCCACTGTGACCTTGTATGCTGACTAAATCCATGCCCTTGGCAACTATTATTTACACATGGATGGATGAACACACACACACACACACACACATACATACACATAGACACACACCCACACCAAGGCACTTTTTTGGAAATTTGGTTGGTTAAATATGTGATGTTATGTGTGAAAGCACATGTGCAGGTAGAACACCAGAAGTTAGTTCGATCAAAACCTCTTTTTGGGGTCCTCCATTAATTAATAAGTAAAATGCATTTTTTTAATAGAAAGAAAATCTTGTGACCCAATTTATGCATTAAATTGATCAATAGTGTAAGTAAAAAACTTAAGTTATGTAAGTTATTAAATAAATGCTGTTCTTTTGAACTTTGTAATCATAAAAAAATGTAAACATAAAAACATCAATAACATATATATTCCAAAAATATATGCATAACTTTTTTAACATTGATATAATAAGATTTTTTTTAGCCGCAAATCCTCATATTAGAGTGATTTCTGAAGGGTCATGTGACACTGAAGATTGCTGAAAATTCAGCTTTGATCACAGGAATAAATTACATTTTGAAATATATTACAATAGAAAACGGTTCTTTTAAATTGTAATCATTTTTCACAATATTACAGTTTATGTGTTCAAATAAATGCAGCCTTGATGAGACTTCAAAAACATCAAATCACATGGTAGTCATTTAAATATTGAACTTGTGCATAAAAAAATGGTCACTGGAAATGTGATTTTTAATTAGTACCAATTCAGTGGAACATGAGAATATAATTGTAATGTGTGTGTGTGTTTGGTTCTCAGCAGTGCTGATGTCCAGCAGATGTATATCTTTGGCGACGGCGTTCCTGAACACTGATTGGTTGTGACATTGTTTCATGGAACAAGATGCTCAGCAATGTGGACAGCATATATGTGTGTGCATGTGTGTGAGTGTTTGTGAGAAAGTCTCTCTCCCCCTCTGTGTGTGTGAGATGAGGATGTCTTGTGAAAGGCCCATCTGCCCTGGTGTCTGCCCACCAGTCATACTGCCAGCACAGGCACTGCAGCGGACGCCTAAACTCTCTGTGACAAGGACCCCTAGAGTGCATGTGCCACCCAACATAAACAACACTGGCACTGCTCTCGCATATGACAGCCTGCGTGTGCGATTTCTTTTTACCTCTTCGACGTCATTCAGATTTTTCAATCATTTCTACTTTTACTTAAATGTATTATGTAATTTGCACTTAATCAGATTGAATCAATTTATTAAGCTATTTTAAGTCATCTTGGATAAAAGTGTGCACTAAATGGATAGAATCTTGATTTCCAGTTGAAAAAGTCCCATATTCACCTTCATATTCAATGGGATTGATGTGTAATTGTCAACATGAGACACTGTAATGCCTCAATAGATGTTAAAACCGGTTTGCTTTAATAAAGGCCCGTTTATGGTGTAATGTTGTATTTGAACTCCCTATTTTTCTTTAAAGGGATACTCCACTTTTTTTTGGAAATTGGCTCATTTTACAACTCCCTCAGAGCTAAACAGTTGGGTTTTACTGTTTTCGAATACATTCAGACGATTTTCGTCTGAAAATCGTCTGAATAAATTCGAAAACGGTGAAACTCAACCGTTTAACTCTGGGGGAGTTGTAAAATGAGCCGATTTCCAAAAAAGTGGAGTATCCCTTTAAGAAGTTCATAGTGACGCACTTACAATTGAATTGAATCAAATGATCAGTGTTTCAATAGTATAGACACAGGATGTATGCAGGTAAACATGATTTTAGTATTAAAAAAAGCTTACTTTCTGTGTAGTTATATTCAACTGTTGCCAGTGCCTTTACGTTTTTGCTTTTAAAATCCACAAAAACAAGCTCTATTCCACTTCCATAAAGAAAATAGGGACAAGTCAAGTTAAAATGTTTGGGTTAATTATGCTAAAGAATGAGCTTTAAAGGGACAGTTGCCCAAAAATGTTAGAAAATCTCATTTACTCATCATTATCCAGATATTTTAATAATATGGATGTAATATTATTTGGAAAACACACACACACACACACACACAAAATTGATAACATGCATGAAATGTCCAAAAAGTTCCAGATTAAGTATTTTTTTAATTACATTTTTAACCCAACATTTGGGTTTGTCCATATTTCATTTGCATTAGCATTTTTTAGAGAGTATGTTTTGTCATGTCAGTGGAACATGTTAAGAATTTAAAGTGAAATAAATTCACTGAATTATATATTTCTTTTAAATGTATCATAGTGGTCTATCCCAAAACATAAAAACAATCTAAACAGGTCAACCAAGAATTTGTACCAGTTATGTGTCTGTCCTCTGTCCCAATGGGAACAATGAAAAGACCATCAAATGAGACGAGCAGCAGTGACAGTGTGTGTGTGTGTGGAGTGAAACTTTAAGCACTGTTGGAGAGAGTGTACAGATTTCATCAAATTCAGACCTTGTGTGTATCAAAATGTGAGTCTCCAGTAAACTGGAATGTGATGTTGTCTTTTTTCTCCTCTTCTTTATGCGTGCCTGTGTGTGATTTGCACATTCAGGTCATTCTCTGTCAGTCTCTGTCTGAACTGTGATTGACAGCTGCAGTCATGCTCCCTCGGGGCAGCTTACTTGCTCCTACATGAATCTCTCTTTCTCTCTCTCAGTCCATCCCATTCCACATTTTCCTCTTTCTCTCACTTCCTCTCCAACATGTAAACTCAGTTTCTCATGTCAGACAGTGATTGATATGTTCCTGTATTTACAACAATCAGCTCTACACTTGTGCCATCATAAAACACACATGCTTAAACACTTCTACTCGACTCAAAGTCCCACTGGGGAAATTCTCCATCATGATTAAGAACTCACAGAAGCGACCGGTAAAACTAAAGCAAGCTAATTGTATTAAAATATCAATTAAAATCAAGTCAAATTCAATGATCAAATTCAAAACAATGCAGTGGTCAAAAAATGCATGAAAATTCGGCAAATTAAACAAATATTAAACCTTTAGAGGATACAGAAAATTAATCATTGTAATAGCCTATCTAAACATGGTTATTGTTTGAGTCTCGTTTGCTTATTTACCGTGAGTAACATTTTGTACCATGCCTCAGAGACAACTTTTTTGTCAAGTGGCTAAAATAGCATAAGTAGAAAGAGCTTTATTGTATTTCTCCACCATATAATATATTTTAAAATAATTGCACACCATTTAGCAACTCAAGTCATCCAGCTTTTATTATATCCTAACATCGATCTAGTTTACTGCAGTGTCTCATTCCAGCCACAGAGCGAAGGCACAGAGTAACATTAACATAAATCGACACACTCAGATCTATGTTTAGATTGTTCTGACCAAGTAAAACAGCATGTTACCCCACATTTTTAATTTGTCAAATAAAGTGAACTGTACGAGTAGGCTAGTAATTCAGCACTTGCAGCTCATAAGAATTAAATAAAACAATGTAAATTGAAGTGATCAAATGTAATTGTAACAGTTCAAGTTCAGGGGAGAAGGCAGATGCTAATCATAACTTTAATTGTAAAATAAACAAACAACAAAACGAAAGAAGCAGCCGACTGCAGATCTATATGCAAAATAAAAACAGCAAATGTCCTGGCACTCGCTCATTTGTGTCATCAAGCGATGTCTTTGTTGTTTTGACTAAGCGCCATCTAGCGGCAAAAGTGCCTTTAATCGCTGGCAAACGATACTGGGCGCTTTTGCAGGTTTGTTCAAAATTATGATCCTTGGTAAATATTTACCTCATATTCAGCTCTCTTTTTGTTCTCTTATGTAAAGTACGTCTTCACTGTTTTACTGAGTACTCCGTGGGCGATTCAGTGCGTGAATGACTCTCGAACCGTTTAGTCCTAGAAAAGAACCGACTCAAAGCTGTGATTCATTCATGACGACACGACGGCGGGCATCGCTCATTCTGATGTTTAAACACGGCAGAAAATTGGAGACACGACACGACTGGTGAACTATCGTGAGGGAAGACGATTCTTAGGTCAGTGAATGTTAAATTTCCTCGTTAGACAATGAATTAGCAACATTATTTGTGAAGTTAATTGTGAGGGGTTTTAGCCGGGGTCATTAACGTTACACAGGTGCTGAGATGTAACGTTAAAGTTAGGCCCACCGAGTTGGGCCTAATGCAGTTGCTAAGGTGTTTTGGTGGTTACTATGACACATTGCTTAGGTCCCTTCTTCATTTTATAGTCTGTCAGCCAAACTGAAAAGTTTAATGCTAATGATTGGGGATTTGCCCAAGTAATGAATGATATTGATACTGATAGGCCTAAGTTAGCTACTTAACTTAGCAAACACTGCTAACAAGTGTGTAAGAAGAACGTCAAATGTGTGTATGATCTGGTAGTGTGTGTGTGTACGAGTAGGTGTGTCTAATGTCTTAATAAGAGCTCTTTCACGGTGCTCTGTGTTGTTTGTGATGTGTAATTGTGTCGCTGTGCTCAGGGTGAGAGTCCGGAGCGTTACGGGAGCCGTTGTCAAATCTTCTGTTAAATCCGTTAAGAGCCGAAAATTAATTATCTAACCAGAGCAGGAATGATTCCAAGAGAAGGAACCCGTGTGAGGAGACGCAGAGACAGCGAACATAAGGAGGTCGAAGCAACGCTACGAGTCACCAGACTTCACGTTAAGCTTGACTGACTAATTATTGCTTATAATTTGCGTTTGGATTAATTAACTAATTAGCTGGGAATGTCTGAAGGCGTAGCGCAGTCTGTGCATGTCAGAGTGAAGACTTTAATTATTGTGATATTTTTAATTAGAATCTGCAGCTGAGTGAGACACACATCCACACACATATAGGCTTCACTCAAATAGCAGCACACACAAAAAAATAACACACTTGTCTTGAGCACAAATAATCAAAACACGCATATTCCAGCTCAACAGCAAGGCCTTGGGTGGGTTTGAAATAAAATGTAGTTATTTTAACGAGTCTGACAAATGCATAAATGTAAATAATATACACATAGCATGCACACAAGAAACATTTCAATCGGAATAATATAGAATATATATATCCCCTATAAGATTTGTATAATGCATGCAGATTAAGCTCTTCTTAAACTGCATGTACATCCTTTCTCGCGCATAATTTAGCCCAGTGCTTGTATATAAAACCGATATCTGCAGATAATGAACATATGCTGGTGCTGAGGTAAATTCGGACACTGCAAGATGTCTCCGGCATCCTTCTCTCTCCCTCCCTCTTTCTGAGAAGAGAGAAATGTGCATCGTCGACAGGATTCGGCTGTGCATCTGACTATTTTCCATCACAAGGGGCCAAGTTTAGTAAACAGGCAAAACTAATGAGGCACTTTGAGCTGCGAAGCGGAGCTTCAGCCCGGGGCCCGAGAGCCCGCTCGCACCTGATGGAGCCGAGAGACATCAAAGCAGAGGATTACAGCAGCGCCAGGGGCCACATTCACAGACTTATTATACGCCTCGTTCCTAATCCGGTTATCTGCAGAATATGGCTGTGTTTAGCAGGCCTTGGCCTCACACACACACACATACACACACAACATGCAAGTACACAGTCACATATAGAATGCAAAAAAAAAAAACACATGCACACACATCAAAAATAGACAACCACATGGCCACAAACACGCTTAAGAACACAACCTCATATTCATAACTAGAAAGCTTTCCAAACGCTTTATGTAATATTCATCCGCTGCTCATACATGATGCTTGAATCCTCCATAAGGTCACATTACTCTCTGACAGCAGGAATCCATCTGTCAGAGTGCCTCGTGTGTGTGTGTGTGTGTGTCTTCTGAAGGACTCGCAGCCCTGGGCGCATTTGTTGGATGTGTTTCTGTTGGTCAAGTTGGTGCTGTGGTCAGACTTGAAGAGAACACTGGACACACGGTGAAATGAAAGACAAATGTTTATGGGTGAAAACACGTCCGGGTCACTTTTCACCCTAAAGACATCACGTTTTGCATAAAGGACTTGCATTGAGACATTATTTTCATGACAGTTAAGCACATTTTACCTCCAAATTCCCATTACTGCAATGTGTTTTGAGTTTCTAATGGTTATATTTCCTATTATTTTCAGTGGGGATTCTCGTTACAGTAATACAATATTTTCATATTTAAATCAGCATAAATTAAAAAGGCGGCACTACAAATAATACTGTGTTGTATAAATACTTTGCAATTTAAATATATATTGTATATTTGTATAATATATATAAATAAATATATATAATATATATAAATTAATATATATAATATATATATATATATAGTAATAGTTCA